TTTTTTTTTTTTTTTTTTTTTTTTGTATTTGGCGTTTTAGATTGCTAGTAGGTCTAACTGGAGCAGAAACTATGCGGCGAAAGACGTTAAATTTGGGGTGGAGGCTCGAGGTCTTATGCTCAAGGGTGTTGAGGATCTTGCTGATGCCGTTAAAGTTACAATGGGTCCGAAGGTACTGTCGACATTCATATGTTTGATGAATGGCGAATTTAGTAGGTGCAGTATTTGCTGATTTTCATTTATTTTTTTTCCTGAATCGAAGGTCGAAGGTTAATTTCCATTGATGATTCACTTTCTTCACTCTTTTAACCTCCGTGCTATATCGTCTTACTCTCCGTTGATAGATTTTGATTCTGTCATGTTGCTGCTGTAGGGGCGCACTGTAGTGATTGAACAAAGTTTTGGGGCTCCCAAAGTTACAAAAGATGGTGTGACCGTCGCCAAAAGTATCGAGTTTAAAGATAAAGTTAAAAATGTTGGTGCCAGCCTTGTGAAGCAGGTTGCTAACGCGACCAATGATGTAGCAGGCGATGGTAAGCTTCTGTTATAGCATAACCACTAAAAGAATGTGTATCAGTTCACAATGAGTGGTTCTTTTGTCATTTTCTTGAATATTTAACCAGCGATTTGATGACCAACATTACACACTAAATTACCTAATCAAAGTGACGAGTTTTGGGGCTTGCAGGGACCACTTGTGCTACTATTCTCACAAAAGCAATATTTACGGAGGGCTGCAAGTCTGTTGCTGCTGGAATGAATGCCATGGATTTAAGACGTGGTATCTCCATGGCTGTTGATTCAGTTGTGACCAACTTGAAGAGTAGAGCACGAATGATAAGCACATCAGAAGAGATAGCGCAGGTTTGTTCTTTCGACTAGGATCACTTGGCGGCCTTGTAGTGACTTTGTATTCAAGAATCAGTCATGCAAATTCATTGTATTTTTATAGGTTGGGACAATATCTGCAAATGGCGAAAGAGAAATTGGTGAGTTAATTGCCAAAGCCATGGAGAAAGTTGGCAAGGAGGGCGTGATCACCATCTCTGTAAGTTGGTTACTAATATATTTGTATATTTGCCGCATGTTAATGGATAGCCGCACCCTATGCCTTCTTCTATATGTCTGATCATTTTCATGCTGAAATAAACTTTTGGTACTTGATTGAATGTGATTCTAGACTCTTTCCCTCGCCTAACCTGAAATAATAAAAGTCCTTCATCAGCAAGAAACTTGATAGGGGTTTATGACTATATTCATGTGAGATACCACATCGATTGGAGGGGGGAACGAAGCATTCCTTATAAGGGTGTGACAACCACTCCCTAGTAGACAATGTTTTAAAACCTTGAGGGGAAGCCCAGAAGGGAAAGTCCAAAGAAGGTAGAGCCAATCATTGGTCAATGTGCCAGTGAGGACGCTGAGCCCCCAAGGAGGGTGGATTATGAGATCCCACATCGATTGGAGAGAGGGAAACAATATTTGCTAGTGGTGGGATTGGGTTATTACAATTCTACTAGGAAATATGATGTTGCAAATCTAGTGGGAAAGAATTTTAGAATCATTTCTTTAAAATCGCTGCCAACTTGTCGAGCTACAATCATAAGTCAATTTAGTGGGATAATCATAAGTATTTGTGTATGCTCCAACTTCTTTAAGTTTTTTTTTTTTTTTATTGGTCTAGATATCATTTTAGATTTCATCCTTATGCATTATTCATTGCTTCAACAATGCTTCTCTGTCACCAGCAATGTGTGTCTCTAGTTTTTGTTAATCTGAAAATGGGATTCTTTTGTAATGTCCTGATTTGACCATTTCCTTTGGTGCTTATTTTGACTGTGTTCAATTTGCTACAGGATGGGAAGACAATGGATAACGAGTTGGAAGTCGTTGAAGGGATGAAGTTAGACAGGGGATATATTTCCCCTTACTTCATTACAAACCAGAAGAACCAGAAATGTGTATGTATCTTTTTTGTTAAAATACATTTCCCAATCTTCTAATCGTACGCCTTATCATCAAGGTCGTCCTGACTTTATCTACCACATGGGGTAACTTGGCAGGAATTGGACGATCCTCTTATTATAATCTATGAAAAGAAAATCTCAAGCATAAATGCTGTGGTGAAAGTTTTGGAGTTGGCTCTGAAGGTAGGCTATCTATTAATGGTTGAGAGTTGTTTCTTACACTTGCAAATGGACGATAATATTGTATTTTTCTTTAATCTCTTCAGAAGCAAAGGCCCCTTCTTATTGTTTCCGAAGATGTTGAAAGTGAGGCACTAGCTACTCTTATCCTGAATAAGCTTCGTGCTGGAATTAAGGTTCGACCCTCATATTCTTCCAACAATTGAAATTTATGGAACACATTAACGTTTGATTTGTTTTGGGCCTTACTTATTTTCTTACTGTTTCCTGCAGGTCTGTGCCATTAAAGCACCAGGTTTTGGCGAAAATAGGAAGGCCGGACTGCAGGACCTTGCAGTTCTCACGGGTGGTCAAGTAAGTTTTTCATTTGTATTGTAATTCCTTTTGTATAATGTTTT